CCCCAAAACCCCAAAACCCCAAAACCCCAAAACCCCTTATAGTGAGCTACAAATAGATTCTAGAATAGTTTAATTATTATTTAACACGATAAAAACATGACCGACTTCAACACCGAAGAATTCAAAACTTTTACTCAAACTCACGGAACCCAGCTAGATACCATTGGACTTCCTCAGCACTTACGCTCTAGGCTATTCCAGAAGCTTCAAAAGGAAGAGTTTGACATTGGAAACAAAGTTAAGATAATCATTGATCCAGAAGGCAAAAAGATGATAGGTACTGTCGAGAAGATAGATGAAGAAGAAGATGTCTACCTTATTGATCATGCTTGGACCTTTAGATATTATGAAGCTTACGAGTTTTTGAGGAACAACAAGAAGCTAAGATACAGAATGAAGAATATTATTACAGATGTTGGCATGACTTGAGAAACAGATGAAGACTCAGCAATAGCAGTTCCAGAAGAATATAAAGAAGAGAGACCTAATCTCTTGAAGTATCTTGAAACTATGCCTGATGGACCAACTGTGTATAACCTTGATGATTATGGTATCCTTAACCTTGACAACATTCCCTTTAAAGACGATGCCACTGAGGTCAGTTTATTTGGAAATAAACTTCATGATCCTTACACTATTACGGAGAATCTTGGAAAGCTGGAAGACCTCAAAGCTCTTTGGTTAAATGATAATCCTATTGAGGATAATTGTCATAATTTTGATGAAATTGGCGAGTTTTTCAAGAAACTTGAAATTATCAACTCCAAATTCACCTCTAAAGCAGGAGAGTGGGCAATTTTATTCTGTTGCAAAGACCAAAAGGTGAATACACTAGAAGACATTGAGTATCTTGATCTATCTAGTAGAGAATTCTTAAAGATGAAAGATATCACAATCCTGGAGAGACTTACATCTCTTAAGACAGTAGATATTTCAGATCATAAATATCTACTTTCTTCACTTACTGAAGAGATTTTAGGAACAGCAGAACTAGAGCATGAAGGACAAAAATTTGAAGTTACTAGCCATTCCCATAACATAAACCAATTTTTAAGCAAGATGCCTCAAATTGAGAATGTCATATGTGATGATGAAGTAGCAGAGCATTTTATTAAAGAAAACAATGAAGGAAGACTCTCTGAAGTTCTTCCAAATCTGAAAACCATCAATGGATTTTCAATTCCATCCTCATTCAAGGACTACAAAATAGAGATGGAAATCAAATATATCATGAAGCACTTGTGGAAATACACTAACTCTTATAAGTAAGAATTCTATTTCTTCTAGAAGCTAATCAATATATAGGTTCTCATTATCAGGACCCACTCAGAATACAGAAAATTATTGGTATGTTCAAGATGAAGTTGGCTCCCATATCCTGCACAGTGATGACTACAATGTAGAAGTGCATCCATTCATTTACTGTAAAGACATCATGGAATTGCAAAGTACTTCAAATCAAGCAGCTTTTGATCCTTCAAACAGGATAACATACTCAATTCTTTGGCCAAAGAAGAACATTGAAAAGGATTCAATCCTTTATAGGGATTTCTTGCCCAAAATTGACGAGACAATGTTCAGGTCTTCTAGGCTTTCTGTATGGTACGACGTTCCACAAAAATACTTTGAAGAGCAGCTGGAATTCCATAATAGTGTAGTTGAAAAAGCCAAAACGAAAGTTGAAGCTTTTGATCAAGCCTTTGCTGAAAATCAAGAGAAGGATGACTCCTTCCTCAATGATCTAAAGGAGCTAGATAGACCAGTCAAGCTCTATTCTGAATATGTAAGAAATTAGTCTTAATTTTTAGTACGATGCCATGACTGGAAAAGATACCTATAAGAAATATCTTGAGCAAGACGAGAAATTTGAGTAAGCAAATTTAGTGGATCAATTTCTAATTTTTATTTAGACTTGTATCATCTATCGAAGATGCAGACGTCGTACTTAGTGCAGTCAACTTCAAGAAAACAGCTTTAGAAATTAATCTTGACACTGAAAAGCATATCTTTAACCAATTCCCTTACGAGTCTGTTCTCGTTGAGAAGAGCTTACTCTGTGATTGTCTTGAGAAAGTCTACGGAAAATGCAGATATTATCAAGAAAGCTATCCTTCAACTACTCGACTCCCAGCATTTATTGGAAGATTTTTGGAAAGAGAGGAGATGAAGCAAGAGAATACCTGGATCTGTAAGCCAGTTGGACTTACTAAGAGCAGAGGACATGTTATTTCTAGCAACTTAGAGTGCATTATTAGGCAAACAGAAACTGAGCCAAGAGTTATTCAAAAGTATATCACCAACCCATACCTTATTGAAGGAAAGAAGTTTGATCTTCGTTATTGGGTTGTTGTTAGGTCATTCAGTCCTCTCAATCTCTATGTTTACAAATATACCTATGCCAAAGTTGCTCAGGAAGATTTTGAAAATACAGAGCTTGGATTAATGACATGGAAGAAGCAATTCCCAGTCCAAGATATGGATGAAGGGACTTACAATGAAGTTATCTTAAAAGATAAGATTGTCGAATCCTTCAATGCTGCTGAAGAAGACGGTTTTATGAAATTTGAAGAAAAAGTGTATGAAGTTATTAAAGAGTTATTCAGAGCAGCTGTAATCTACAAGCCTGAGATTCATCATGAAAATTCTCGTGCTTTGTATGGAATAGATATTCTCCCAGATACAAATCTTCAACCAAACCTTCTAGAAGCAACATTTATGCCAGAGATTTCTCGTATCTGCGGAATCAACGATAAATATCTATCAGAGATTAGCAGATGCATGTTCTTAGGAGAAGAAGAAAATATGAGAAAATTATTCTAAACACGCTTTTAGGAATTTAATAACACATATTTTCAGTCTATTGATAAATTATTGGGGTTTTGGGGTTTTGGGGTTTTGGGGTTTTGGGG